TTTGCCGAATAAACCATGGATCTAAAGTCAATTTGAAGTTTGCCAAATTGCGAAAATAATTTTCTTAGCATTTTGCTGTAGTGACGTAAAAAAGTACTCAAATTTTGTATACAAATATGCTCTTTGGGGTTTTTTGGTATGAGGAATTCATTTTTGCACTTGTATTTTTCTTAAAACTTCCACCAGAGGACGCAAAAGTGAGAATTTTCACATATTCTTCGAAATCTATTTTTGCAATTTTGTAAACTCCAAATTGATTTTTGGTTTCCTCAGCAAATTTGCTTAGAATTACGCGTAGAATCCTCCTATGACATACGCACATAGTAAAAAAAAAATTGGCCCGCCCTAATGTACATACTATGTGCATTCTTAAATGTAGGTATTGTAGAGAAGCTAATAAAATCAAAACTTCTTTTGTTGTTGTTGTTGTAGCGGCTACAACAACTTCTTTGAGAAGATTTTATGAGAATTTAAGTGCACTTCTGCACGTAGTATGCATGTATTAGGGATGTTGCGAATGTGGAATTTCAGACATCCGCCGATGCGAATGCGAATGTCAAGTACTTTGAAGAGATAATATATTATTAAAAAGACTATGTTCCCATTGAAGTACGTGAGAGATCAAGTAGAAATGGGAACTTGTATGACTGTCCATTGATATCTCGGTTATACAGTTTAAGGAAAAAATTGAAAGAAAAAATTTTAAAGACACTTTCACTTTCAGTTCTGATACACAAATACTCCTATGTGCGTTGCATAAAATTTTGGCTACCATTTGTCATTTGGTTTGCCAGATATATGTACGTTTTATCAGTGCACTTGCACAACATTCGCATTCGGAAAAGCTCTGAATGCGAAAGCGAATGCGAATGTTAAAATTAATGCGGTAACCCTGGTACGTATTTATATATATAGGTATGCATGTATGTACATATGTATGTAGGTCACAAGGTGAAGAGAGCGGAAACCGCCACCGCAGTGTGATCGACAAAACGGAGTTCAAAGAGAGTGACCGCAAACTAAGTACAGTGGGCCATAGAAATAAACACAATAATACATATGTATGTACATATGTACATGCATGCATATACACTAGGGTGGTCCAAAAATGCATGTGAAAAAGTAATGTCGGAAATTTTATACTCCCACCCCCTATGATTGTTCTCTACCGAAAAAATATACCCCTATTTTATTTTATTTTGAAATGAAAAAATATTTAGAGGTCGCTCAAAGCGCCCAAAATTTTCCAGGTATTTTATATGGGGAAAAACTTTTCGTGGAAATGGTATAGAATTCTTAAAAGTCAATATTTTTCTATCGGAAAACTCTGTTTATCTGCAGAAGATTCCCAGTAATAATACCCAATTGTTTATTTAACAATTTTTTCATCGCAACTATAATTTATAGGTCCGCTGAAAACTCACAAAAACCCCGGCAAAATCAAAAGGGGGACCAATAAAAAATCGTTAGTATTAAAAAATGGTTAAATAAATATTTGGGTATTATTATTGAAAGACTCCTGAAGAGAACCAGAGTTTCCGATCCAAAAATTATTAATTTTCAAGAATTCTTTACCATTTCTACGAAAAGTTTTTTCTCTCATATAAAAGTACATGGAAAATTTTGAGCGCTTTGAGCGATCTCTAAATATTTTTTGAGTTTAAAATAAAAAATAGGGGTATACTTTTTTTCGATATAGAACAATCCTAGAGGGTGAGAGCATTACAATTCCGAATTTACTGTTTTTGGACCACCCTAATATACACACATATGCAGTTGTAGTGCATACATATATGTTCGTATGCTTAGATGCAATTTTTGATAGGCAAACTGCATGCTTTGTTAAGTTCTCGGTATCATCCCAATGAGCAAATGAAAGCGATGCACCACCGAACACCGAAAGCAACTGAAAACAATTACAGCATATAAAAAATTATGAATAAACATCAATGAACAGTTGCCAGATGCCACAGGCTATATGAAGCATATTTACATATCTACATATTTTTGTTAAGAAAAAAAAATATGTTTACATGTTGCTTATGTTTAGCTCTGGCAATGAATATTGCAATCGAGACAGGGCAAATCGAAAGTACTCAAGGTATAGCAATGACTGGCATGCTGTGTTTTCTATCACTGCTATGCATGTAGTTAGTATGAGAAATAAAAATGATCTATTTAAATTTATAGGTGCATAATGTAAATATTTACAGGTACGTATATCCAGACTATTAAACAGAAATGCATGGAAGGAAGAAAAAGTAATGGGAGTAGTAATGTAATATTGTGGCACGTGTGTCATCTAACCGACATTCGTGCAGTCTATTGGTACGGTGACCATTCGTACCGATTTTGGCAGGTCAGAACCGACTTTGAGAAAGTTGTCCCGCTGAATATTTTTTAAAAGTCGGGAAATATTAGAGCAAATCGCACGAGTTGTTTTTGTTTTTTAGTGTCACTCCCTTTTCAAACCAACAAAAAGAGCTAAAGCATTCTTCTTGCATTTATTTCAATCAATGGAGTTCCAAAAACACGTACAATAACAAAAAAAAAACAATTATTGAACACTTATTACCTTAGGTGAAAAAGTACCAAAATTGCTAATTTTTTCATTGTCACTCAAAAAAATCAAATAGAATGTTCATCCTAGAGGCAATGAAAGTTGGCATTATGCATATACAACATACCTGTGGAGTATCCAAAGTGTGCCAACAAATTAAAAAAAAAAACAAAAATAAGTCAGCATGCAGAATATTTGTCGCAGCTATTTTGTAATTTTCGATATTTAACGATTTTTTTTTTCATTTTAAAGGTTTAAGTTACTTCAAAATTTTAACATTAAACGGTGAAAATGTTCTTCTTGCCAAAGCGAACCAATCTAGATTAATGAAAATAGTGTGATTATATGACGATGGTTGGCGAAACAAAATTTCCAATTCCACAACAACGGGTATATGAGCACGAGTTGTTATTTTTACTTTTTTAGTATATCTTTTTTAAGTTTTCATTTAAATACAATTTCCCGATGGAATCTTGTTTTTGATGCAAAACTGAAGATAATGCATTGTCTAAGTTAAGTGTGCCACCAACTTGTGAGATTTGCTCATAAGTGTCGCGACTTTTCATATTTGTACCGATTAAATCCCGATTTTCAATGTTTTCTTTATTAATTTAATAGAAGTCTTCCTGTACTCTGGTCCAGAAACCATTTTTCGGACAAACGTGGCAGCACCTTCGTTATTTCAAATAACATAGAATATAAGGTAGCCGTAAACATAGCCATCTAAACATCCTTATTTTCTATTATCTTTGGTTTTCTTTTATTTTCTGAAACTGGTACTCTCACTCTCCAGCAGTTTATCATTCTTGCTGTAATTTTCTTTAAGATTTTTATAATTATTTGTTATTTTTTTATGAAATTATACTAACTTGAATTTGATAAAATAATAAAAATTATACTAATTTTCTTCAAAAATTCATATGGCGAATATAAGCTACATATGTATATACATATGTACAGTTGTCCAAAAAATAATAGGAGTGCGATATTTGACCAGTTTTGGCTATTTGTCTTTTGTTTATTTAGTGTTCATAATTTTTTTTTTTTATAAAAGTCTAGCTGGTTATACAACAAACACCATATAAATTCAGATTTCAAACTTAGTCCGAAAATTAAAAAAATTTCACGTTTTTTCCATACAAAGTATGTTTTGACAATTTTCTTTTATATGGAGGACACTGCCAGCAAAAAAAAAAAATTGCAAAAAATTCTATTCGAAAAATTGCTGGTTGCGACCCAGAAGCAACTAGTTTCAGGATTTTTTAAAGATAACTAGGCTGGCTTTTTGCACTGAATATTTTCACATAGATACTCGTAGTTATGTGCAATGCGTACGTGTGCTGCCATATTTCCACCATCTAATTAGAGTGAGAAAATTTTATTGTGGTGCCAAATTTTAAGAGAATTCTTTTATAGCATAATCAGTACAGTTTTTATTCTCAATCCGAATACATAAATGTATGTATGTATTTTTGTATTTTATTCTAATTTCGTATTTCCTTTTCTCTCATTTTATTTTATTTTGTTTGTTGCTAATGTAGTAAAATAAAAATAAACCTCGTGAAAATAAATACAAAAGGCGTGTGCATAATTTATGCGTCTTTATGATGTCGATGTGTACACCAGCACATCCCTGATGACGATCAACCAAAGTTTATGTGCACTCATACATTAACACATATGTATGTATATATGTGTTCCCCCGTTTATGTGTAATAATTGGGCGATCGTACACCAAATTTGCGCAAATCAAAATGGAGCTGAGCAATTAGCCTAAATTTCATTAGGTGGCAATAGGGGCGAGCAGAGTGAAATAAACATTTTTTCGCACATGTTTAAATTGACTTACAATTTTTTTTAACCATGAATCATACAATGCGTTCCATGTAAAATTTCCGCATGTACTATTTTTTGTTTTATCTTGTTCTTCTCAGAAGAAATTAAGAATTAAAAAAAAAATAATAAGTAATTAAAAAATTTAAGGATTAAAATATTTAAGGATTCAAAAAACTCAAGGATTTAAAAAATTTAAAGATTTAAAAAATTAAAGGATTTCAAAAAAAGGATTTCAAAAAAAGGATTCAAAAAAATTTTGGAATTTAAAATAATTTAAGCGCTAAAAAATTTAACGATCAAAATATATGAAGATTTAAAAACATTAGACTTACAAAAAAAGTTTCTAAAATTATAAAAAAAATAGGAATGTAAAAAGCAAAAAAAAAAATAAATAAATATATTTCATATGTACATACAGATCCGACTGCGCTCTAAAAAACTAGAGATCGCTTTTAAAAAAAGACATATTTAAGAATAGCCTAACTCGATCTGCAAATATTTCAAATCCGTAAACCAATCCAAAAACAAGTAAATAAGCAAATAAATGCATATATATGTATGTATGTATGTACTTACATACGCATATAAAATAATGCTCACTTACCTCTTGCAACGCCTTCTTATCGGGCACTTTATTATTCTGTAGGGTACGTATCACATTCTTTGCTCCATCTACCACAGCGGCCTCTATGCGTAAACGATGCCGCAACTCTTCGATACGCTCTTCGAGCGTCGTCTCCAGCCGCTGTGGCTGACCGCCATTCTCGCCATCACCACTAGCCGCAATAGCTGCCTGTGCAGACAATTTATGAGCATGCTCCTTGTTCTGCTTTACTTTGAGTATGCGTAGCCGCAGGAATTCAATTTTCGCCTTTGAATCGGCTAGCATTTGCTGCGCCTCGGCTAATAGCTTCTTGTCGCGCCCATGATGACCATTGGCCAGGGACTGTATCATATTCTCAGCGCCATTCTTTACTTTCATTTCGATATTCAATTGCTTCTCGAGTGAGATGAGCATCTTGTCATTCGCTGAAAGTTGTTCATGTCCGCCACCAATAAGACCACCCCCATTGCCGCCACCACCCAAACTAGCGCTGCTGACACTGCCGCCCAAAGTAGAGGTTGGCGTCGATAGATTTGAAGAATATCCATCTGAAATAAACGAAAAGATAACTTTATAAAAGAATAGTACCGAGGTTGATAAAAACAAGAAACAGACAACATTCCAAAAAAAAAAGTTTTACCGCTCGTTCAACAAGATATAGCAACTATACAAGCTCAAGCGTTAAAAATGGCCGGTCCCTTTCGAGGTATACTTTCAATTAGATTTTCATTGTCATTCGATGGGAGAGTTCGCCAAATCCTAGTTATAGGCAAGGAGACTTCAAAAGTCTACGTTTATTAGTTTTGAACATTTTACCCAGATCAAAATTTTGAAGTAAATTTCCGAAATACCCACATTCACCGTTTGAGAAGCACATTCAAACATTTATTTTTGAAAATCTTTATGCCTCATTACCTATGCAAGCTTCACCGGAACACTCGCCCATAAAGCCACTTATCAGAGGACCTTCGTTCAGATCAAGCGATTCAGCCCGATACAAAAAATCATTATTATTACTTAGTAGACAATTACAATTTTTCTTTTTTGTCTGAGTTCGAACAGGTCAATGTCCAAAAGGAACAGCAAGACTATGCCTGGTCTTCGCAAGAAGATTTTTCTATTCCACTAAGTATAGTTTTGTGGTCTGTGTGTGCGGGGCGGACTGGGGCTTCACACCTAAACTGGCAAGGTGGATGTATGACGTCATCTCCAAAGACATTCTAACTTATGCTGTGCCCGTCTGGTGACAGAAGGCAGTAGTGAAGTCCACGCAGGCTAAGCTCAGTAACTACAACGGCTAGCTTGTGTGGGCATCACTGAATCACAGAATTTCAAGGTATTTTTCCCCAACATAACTAACTGGGACAACGGACGAGCTAAACCCCCGAAGGAAAGTCATATTTGGTATACTGAAGCTTCAAGACTGAACCCAGCTTGGGAGCAAGAGTCTATGGCATACAACCCAGAAGGTTCCATTTCACCACATGCGCCAAGATAATTTTATCTTTCAAACCGGTATGCCATTGAACTATGCCTGAGGCAGTATGAAGAAAGTGGGGCCACCAACAAACACATCTACATACACTCGGCCAACAGAGCGGCCGCTCTTAAGGCGCACGAGGTCACCTCAAAGCTGGTGTGGAGGGATTGCCTTCAGCGTTTGATACTTATCGCATCCAGAAACAGGTTACACCATATCTGGGTACCCAGATACAGTGGGGTAATGGGCAATGAATGATGGGCAGATATGCTCGCTAGAAAAGGCGCTGCACAAGGATTCATTGACCTTTACTGGTCTGCCATGAAGCTCTGTTATGCGAAACCTCTATATCTGGATGAAGAATGAAGCGTAACAGTATTGGACAAACACGAAAGCAGCCAAACAGGCTAAGTCCGTCATTCCGGGAATATCAATTAGGAGAACCGCCTAGCTTTCACTTCCTAGGATCACCGCACCTATAAGCACACTACCTAAATAGCATTCAGCCAAAGGACCTCGGGAGGTTTCTTAGTAAATCGTGGATCAAAGAAGACCTGTAGAGGTGTTTTACAGTAGATTTTGTTTCGGTTACCTTCTTCCTCATCTAAATATACCATAAGCTCCATCTTGGAATAAGATATATAAATGTAATGTCCAATCAACACTAGCGCCTCCCGTCAATTGCGCAATCATAACTCGTCTAACCCTAAAGTTCAGAGAGTGATTGTGTGTAGCCTCCAGTCAAAGCTCCCAAAATGCACTTCTTTTACTTGAGTGACTGCGTAGCATTGTAGAGAAGCTGCAATGGGGTTTCCATCGCAGTATCACAGAATGGATTCGCAGCCTGCATTGATTCGTCAGTATCCCTGTAAAACATGAAGCTTGCCTTCGGTAGAAAGTAATTAGTTTCCTAAACCTTTTGAAGTTGTAGCTTTCTACACGTTTTTGGGCTGCCTTAGCTGATGTGAGCTTTGACAATGGGTTTTTCTAGCAGCCGCTCTTCTGTTTTTAATTTTTCCTGATTACCCCAAATAGTATACAGAATTCCACAATGACTACTCTGTCAGATGAGAGGTGATAAAAGAAAAATAACCTAAGTCCTTAGCTGCCCTTTTTATTTCCAAAACCCAGTTTTCAAAGCCTTTCAACTGTCACCGATGTATTTATGAAAAATGTAAGTATTATTTATTCTCTTCAGCTGTCCACAAGTCTAAATTTTTATATTTATCAGGTTGATAATAAAAGTAATTTTATAAAATAAAGTTAATTACCTTTATTATCAACCTGATAAATTTTAAAATTGATTGGTCAAACTGGGTATAATTCTCAAAAACCTTCGCTAGCACGCAGGTGATAAAAAAAATGTTCCTTCAAAATAAAATCACTAAAAGAACGATATTTTTGTGATCACATATGTACATACATTTACATACATATGTATGTACATTAGACTGATTCAAAAGAATCGACTAACTTTTTGAACAGCCCCCCTCTTCAACACTTTCGGGCGAATGTCAAAGGATGCCTTTTTAAAGCGCAACCCTTAATAATAAGTTTAAAACGTACGGAATGGCGGTTTTCTATTTTTCATATAAATTACAAAGCATAAATTTGACTTGGAGTGTGAATAACTGTTAAACCAATAGGTTTATCAAAAAAAAAAATTATTTTGTAGAACGTCTAATTTTCTACAAAAATATGTATCGCACTTTTTAGTTCGACAATTCATAGCCGCGAGAACAGATTCCAAAGATAAAAACAATTTTTTCTAAGTCATTTATATGGAAAATAGAAAACCGCGATGCGCGACCTTTTAAACTTAATATTAAGGGTTGCGCTTTTAACAGATATCTTTTGGCCTCCTCCCAAAGGTATTGAAGAAGGGGCTTTTTTAAAAAAAAAAGTTAGTCTTTTTTTTTAATCAGTCTAATGTACAAACAACATATGTACTTTTACGAAGATGAGCGAGCTTACATAATTACCATTACAATTACAATTGCTCATCTAGAATAAAAGAAGCCATGACGAAATACTATGTATGATGGGTTACATAATAAACAAATATGTACCAGTACTCTCTGTCATATTACGTATTCCAACTACCCATCCGTTCATTCTATTTGTTCAATTTATTATTTTTATTCATAAAAACATGAATACACGACGCGGATGCCTTTTCACTTTTGAGGTCATAGATATAACAACAATGGCCTATGTGCATATATGTATGTATTTTCATGTCTGCCTACTTACTGGATGTTTGCCAGCTATTGCCCTAATTCATTACACAGGCGGCAATGGTTGGGAAAATTTCCAAAGCGGACGACTATTTCTACCAAGCCCTTATGCTTCAAAGTTGGCATTTATGAATGAACAGCTAGTGCTTTGCTTAGTTGGCGTTCTCGATTTCAGAAAAATGTAGATTATTGTAGCGCAATAATTAATTGGCAATGCTTCAACTAGTGATGATCAATGTTGCCAGTTTAGCCTTTTTGAGGCTTGAGGACATTTCGGGTCTAACTTTTAATTTTTTTCTCACCTTTTTTGACAACATGAATATTAAAATGAGAATACTATCTCAGATTGAAAATCAATGGCGAAAACTTTTAACCAATCTTAGTACAACAATTGTGTTCCTGATAGTTTGAATGAAAACCCGTTTCAAGAACTTTGCAAACTAGCTTCAAGTTTTCTTGATTTGCCATTCAGTAACGCTGAGATTGAGCGGATTTTAAGCGCAATAAAAATTATAAAGACTAAGCTACAAAAAAAAATGTTTTTTCTAACAGCGGTCGCCCCTCAGCAGGCAATGGCATGCCTCCGAATGTATTCCTGCCTTTAAAAAGCTTTTCGAAAATTACCGTTCGGAGACGGCATAAAACTATAGGTTCCTCTATTTGTGTAACGGTGACAAATACAAGACGCACACCACAAATTGGATCGTGCTTTTTCTTCCACATACAGTGGTGGACAAATTAATAGGGACACGACATTTTACAAAATTTTGCCTATTTTTCATTTCTTTATTTAATATTTATTACTTTTTTATAAAGATGTAGTTCATTATCTAAGAAAACCCGTCTAAATCAATATTTTAAACTTTGCGCGAAAATTATAAAAGTTCTGCAAAATCGCCTCTAAATTTTAAACTTTTTAATCCGATGTTTCAGTTTTTTTTTTAATTTTGCAGTTCCAAAGCCGCTTAAATTTTAGTGGAATAAAGTGTAGTTCCTAAAAAATTTCGTTGATTTTTGGCAAATTTTTATAAACGCATTTTCTTCCGTACAAAGTACATTCGAATAATTTTTTTTTAGAAAAAAGTGCGCAATGTGTAATGCGTAATTCCAACTTGCACTTTATTATACTAAAATATAATGGACTATAAAACTGCATCAATTCTGCAAAATCTGATGAAAAGTTGAAAATTTAGAAGCAATTTTGTACAAAGTTTGAAATATGAATTTTTACCGTTTTAATAAGCTAAACTTTTATATAAAAAAAAAAATATTAAATAAACAAAAGAAAAAAAGGCAAAATTTGTTAAAATGTCGTGTCCAAATTAATTTTTCGACCACTGTATGTAAAAGCACTACTTATATGGAAGAACTTGCCCAACATCTTTCGGAAAATAAAAATATAAAAATCAACGCGATTTCTAGGTCATTTAAGCTTGTACTTTATTATGCGAAAACATTTTCTGAAATTTGAATGAAAATTTGCGGATTTTTATTTTCGTTCTAATTTCGTAATAAGTTTGTATATTTGATTTATATGGTTTTTGTAATAGTATGAATTATAATTGTATATAAAAAAAAACGAAAAATATTTTAAACATTGTAAAAAAAACCTAACTGTATAGGTACTTATTTTTGTTTGTGTCCACTTGACTCCGCGTGATCATTACGCTATTTTTTGGTGGTGTGGCCATTACGGATTAAATACTCACAAAATGTTCCATCCATTGTTTACTAAAATCATATAACTGAAAGTTTGAAACTTTGTGCAAAATTTAAATAAAATTCAATAAATTTTCAACTTTACTTTTTTAATCATAATTTTTAGAAAATTTATGGGTACGCAGTTTTGTATCCAAGAGAATTCTAGTAAAAGAAACGGCAAATTTAGACCGGCTGAAAGATCGCGTTGAATATTTTTTTTTTCTGCGGCCCACAGTGGTCTGAGAGTGGCATAAAGTCCTAATTTCGAAATGTGCGGAAATATCCAACTAGGTGGTTGACTCGATTCGTTAATGGCCCTTGCCACAGTAGACCGATTTTTACTACATATCTCTCAGATTTATGACTTCCTAGATTAATCCAAGTTACAAACTGAATTTAATCTCAGTGTAGTGGGCGTGGCAGTCCGCTAAATTTAACGATTTTTTTTCATATTTATTCGTTCCTAGGCAAAAGTAGTCCACGTTCCAATTTTAAGCGAAATCAGAGCGCATTTACTACTTTTTGCCACATCTTGTATGGGGCTCATCCACTGAGCGGCCTCTTACTTTTCGACTTAAATGATTTTGGTTAAAGAATGGGCAAGCTCTTTATAAAAAACTAACAAAACAAATTTTATAAATGTTTTGTGAATATTCAAAAAAAAAATCTCATTTTTTTGCTTACCTCTTCCATTGCTCACAGAGTTGCCTTGTGTTAGAAGAATATGACTTTCCAATTCTTGCAATTCCGACTTCAACTCAGCCAGTTTGCTATTGCTTTTCTTTACGATTGATGCCACATCGTTCAAGGATCGTCGATCTTTGGCCACTTCGCGCAACTTTTCGGCACCTTCTTTGATTTTCAGCTCTTTGCGAATTTCCCGTCGTATCGCCTCTTTAATTTCTTCCAGGCGATTGGGCAGCGCACTCTCGGGTAGATTATCAGTGAAACCATATTTATGGCTGAGCTCGTAAAGGACGGGATGTTTAATGTAGTCACCCTAAAAAAAAATTAAGAAAAAAATCTCATGATTAATATATAAAAAAAAATTTAATTTGTGATTTTAGTAGTTTTTATGCATACATTTAGGATAAACATACATACATGTGTATGTAAGTAAGAAATGATTTGCTTGAAAGATAAGCAATCGGCATGAAAGTTTTTTGAATTTTGCTAAGTCTTTTATTAAGTTTGAAACTGTGATTTACACATTACATTATGAATATTTTGAAAATTCAACACGTGGTCATTTGCTTGAGTCACTGTATGTACCACCAATGTTAATTTTATTTTAATTTAATGGTCTAATGACTGATACCTAGGATCTACCTAATTATTTACTAACTTTTAGTACATTATCTAATATTATTGTCTTTCTACTCAAGAAACCCGTTGAACTTAAAAATTTTGTGTATTTATTTTTTAAACCTTTTTTTTGTACTTTTTCCATATATGTAAACATGAATTTCTTATGCAAGAAAGTTGAAAAAATCTAAAATCAACGGAATTGTTTAGCAACTTCAAACTTGCACGTTATTATACCAAAATTTAATAATAGGCTATACTTGTGCATACCAAAAAATTCATCGACTTAAAAGGTTTGCAGTTTTGATGAAAATTTGTGAATTTTTCTAAATTTTATGCGAAGCAAAAATCTCACTGTCCAATTTCGACTGTTTCTCATTGTAGATATACTTTTTTTTAACTACAAACTACCGCTACGAAATTTCCAAATTAGAGCGGCGGGACTGTAATCGATTGATATTTATTTTTTTTTACTTATTTCGCTAAAATACCTTAACCTTTTTACGACAATATGTGAGAAACTATGTACAAACACATATACATGAGTACATTGTATAATCAACATATAGATCGAGAGGAGAAGGCGTACACGTAAGGAGGCACTTGAGCCATAAACAGCAAAACGGTAACATGCACTTGGCATTAATTACGAACATAAGCGCACAACAAACACACTTACGCACATTCGTCCACCTACCAACTAATTCAATTTCAAACACGATATAATCTATCAAAACTGAAAATAAAAAATAAACACAAATAAAATAAGTAAACATACATACATATGTACACACATGCATGCATAAACATACATATAACTATATGTATATACATGAGTATGTAAATACCTTGCAGGAAATTACTATTATGTTTTCAATACGCTTTCGTTCTGCACTTCACAGATGCCTCTTCATATTTCCTACACACAAATTGTTTCTTTGAGTAAAGAGTATCCAAATTCGAATCATTTACTCACTGTATTTTTATTTCAAAGTGGTATTTGAATTAGTTGATTAAAACAAAAAAAAAAAAAACATAAATGAAACCAATCCCGTTGCCTTTGAGAAAAGTCAGCGATACCTCCCATATAAACTCAAATTTTGATGACACATTCATATTTACCTCTGGAAATTGCGAACAGCGTCGCACACGGGCAGCTAGAGTTAGAAAATAAACATAAATGCTTTAATATCAGAAAATTAAAAAAAAAAACATTTTTTTTTTTTTAATTTAAATAAGTGGACCAAGTTCGGTGGAAATCGATAAAGCGGCTATCGATATACATATACATATACTTCCATGCCATTGCCATTTTTCAAAAATCTATAATCTCGTTTCTTGTTAAGAAATTTTATTTTTTTTTCCAATATACCTGCATACATATTACGTTCTCGTGCCGAGGCAATAACTGCAACAAGTTCGGTAGAAATTGATAAATCGGTTACCGAGGTACACATATCCACATACATATGTAGGCATTAAATGGCGATGCCACGTCCATGGCCATTTTCCAAAATTTTTTGTTAATATCATTTTCTGCAAGAGGATATTACAAATATCGATTTTGAATGAACTAGTTTAAGCAGTTACTAACTTATCGCAGTTTACGCATTTCTGTAAATTACCGTTCAGAAATTTTAACAGGTTTCTTGGTTGCACCCTAAGCAATATTCCTCCCGAATTCGGTGGTAGGTAAAGCGGCTACTGAGATTCAACATTTTATTACAAGCCGGCGATGCAACGCCCATTTTCCAAAAAATTCATAACTCTCTTATTTTGTTCCGTTATATGGGAGGTGGGCGAGAATATTGTCCGATTTCGCCCGTTTTAAATACCAACATACCTTGGATAAATGGCAACCTAAGTACCAAATTTTGAGATATCTTATATTTTACTCGAGTTTTAATTTTCAACACGACTTCTTATAAAAATTTTGATTAAGCAATTTTCTAGCTCCCATTTAATTTTATCATATTAAAGTGCAAGGTTTCTAGTGACTAAAAATTGCCTCAGTGCCATAAGCCATACACTGCACCAAAATCACAATGGTTTTTCAACCCATTTATTGTTTGATTTTTGTATGGTAAATACACCGATTGTAAGAAGTGGATTTGAAGTTGAGCATTTGAAAATACATTTGTAACTATGGCTGGCTGTACCTAAACGTGCAGAGATGCTTGCTGTTATTTGTTAGCTTCCAGCAGGTTCGGGTTCGAATGCCGTCATAGGCAAAATATAATTTCCTATTTTTATTTTTGGTTTTTCCTAATTACGAAAAAGCATCTGAGAAATTCAAACGACGAGAAAATGCATTCAAGTTGAACATTTGAAAAGATATTTGCAGAACAGTTGTAGCTGTGTGTGCAGAGATGCTTGCTGTTATTTGATAACTTCCAGAAGGTCGGATTTAAAATTTCGTATAAAAATTGTTGTTTTATGACTCAAAGCTATAAAAAAGCATCTGTGAAGTACAGAACAAAAGCGTGTACAAACGAAAAACTATATCAACAATGACACTGTACATATATTAAACATAAATCATTTTGATTCCTTCTCAAGTTTGAATTTGGTATTATTAACCAATTTTGGTGATTTTTTTTCAGTGTAGTCGTGGCGCGATACCACAACCTTGTGCAATATAATCGATAATTTGCGTTTTTTGCACTGAGTAGCAAAGTGGCTTAAAATTGCTAATTTTGCACTAGTTTCAAACCAGATCGGTACGTCACTAGTTTCGGTTTTTCCTACAGGGTATGTATGTGCATGCATATGTTTGTGAATGGTCAAATAGGCTGGCAATTCAACTATATGAAGGCGAATGGACGCAAACTAACACACACACACACACTCACGAACACACATAAAACAACAAGCAGAATAATTGAATTAATTTTCATGGCCAAGAAAACAATATACGATAAATTAACATTTTAAAATAAATGAAGAAAATGTAACATGGAAGAAGACACTGAAAGAAATTCTTAAACGAACTTACTCGTACATACATAAATATGTACAGTCACTCACAGAAGTATTCGTAATTTAGTTTTCTCACAATATTCCAAATTTTTTCCATCACAAATCTTTTTCGTTAATTTTCATTTAAAATATAGCTCATTCTATAACAAAACTAAAACTAAAATTGAACGGGCTACAAAATTGCATACCGAAAATTTTTCTAAAAATTCTGAATAAAAAGTTTGAAATTTTGATGAAAGTTTTTTTAAATTTGACTCATTTTTATGAATTTTGTACAAAGTTTGCAAGAATGCTTTATATGGTTTTTGTTATAGAATGAAATATATTTTAAACGAAAATTAACGAAAAAGATTTATGATGGAAAACATTTGGAATATTGTGATAAAACTAAATTACGAATACTTTTGTGAGTGACTGTATGTATATACAAAAGTCAAACGCATAAGGACAAATATGGCAATTATGGCAATATTGGCTACACTTTAAAGGTTTCCCATTCCCAATTGTAAGAAAAAAATACGTACTGCATATGTATCTACCTTGTAGTTATAAATGAGACTTAAAATGTTAAATATTTCTGTTTAAAACACACAGCCTGCGACAAAACAATAGCACTTCAACATTTGGAAAAGTTTTGACCAAATATTAGTCTTTTGATTGATTAATATTCATTTATATCTCATTAAATTTTAGGGCAATAAAGTTATTTTTACACATTTTTTTTTTGCTCACGGTGTTTACAGTTTCTTCTATATAAAAAAAAAAAAATAAAATAGTCAAAACTAGTCAAAACGTAGGGTGCTATGGTTTTTTCGCGGGCTGTATATGTAAATACATACACACGAGTATGTCGAAGATATTTTGCCAACAATGAAAATGTACGAACAAAATTTTTACCTCATCATCGTAGAATACTGAGGATGCGTGCGTGCTGACTGTAACGCAAATGGTGCCGCGACGTAATGATTTCAACGATCCTTTCGACACTTTCCGCACGCGTATCGATTTGACTGATTTGGAACGTTGTAGCTCCATGGGCGATATATATGACGATGGATCTGGCGTGGTGGGTGTGGTGGAGCGGGGTGAATCAGATGCCGAGGTCGATGATGGTCCATGTAGACTAAAATGCGATTTGACGCGCAGAAAGAACGCGTGCATAGGTGAGAACTTTGCGAAAAGAACAGTGGTCGATTAACGTCGGCTATTTTAAAAGACCAATGGGAAATGTGGTAGTTTCCGGTAGTAGTTTGAGTTGATGTTTACCCGCTTTATTCAATGTTTTAGAAAGTTTGCAATTTTAGTAATTTTTTAGTTCACTTCTTTTTCATACATATTTTGTAATTTTTTAGCGTTTTTTTTTTGCTATTACCAATAATGCTGCCGGTTAACCTCTGCCGCCCCCTTTTTAACACAGTAGTTGTAACGAATATATAGAATAGATTTGGAACCAAATCAACAGCACAAACCGCTATTGGAAACATTAAGAAGCTTGAGATTTCATACTTTACTATGTCGTGCAGAACAACAACAAAATTATTATTTTAAAAACATTTTGGTGAAGTTACAAATTGCCTAAAAAGGTATTGTGAATCCGCTAAATATGTATGGCTTATTTTTACTCAGTGCACGCCATTCCAAAAGCATACAAATTTGCTTATATTATTGTATTATTTTTTATTATTGTATTATTTTTTATTATTGTAT